ACACACACACACCAAAAAGCGAGCTCTGCAGAGTCTCAATCACGTCAGTGAGATGACACAAAATCAAACCTACCTGTCTAGTGTTCACAATGTCATACCCCTTAGATTTCCTTCTCAACAAATTTTCACTAGCTCAGTGCACACAGTGACAGTGAATCCATGCAGGTCATCAAGGGGTGATTTCAGGTATTAGTGTTTTGGTTCAGTGCACACAATTTTGCCTTTAATAGATTCACATTTTCATCAAAGCTTCATTTCATTTGACTTCGAAATGCTACATGAATATAGTAACTTGCAACTCAAGCACGTATACTTTCCACCACCCTGAAGATGCAGACTGCCGCCTGGGATCTATTTGAGCTCTGCAGTGAGCAGATCCTCAACCAATCTAAAGGTTGTGAATTTCTTTTGTGATTGTTGTTCTGATAGAGGCATAAAAAACCCTTACGCGTTTGATTCAGATCTTTATGGTCCAAGGTGGGAAAGTATTCTTGCACTAAGCATGAAAACATGTTTTAGCTTCTCTCTCTGAACCTAAATGTTTTGCAGATTTAATTATCTCTGTTTTATCGATGAATGATTCCTGATTATGATTTGACTTGCCTTGATAGTATTTCTCATCTGATTCTCCCATGTTTTAACATTTCCCAGTGGTGAAAATTAACTCAGTTAGTCAATAACTGTGTTTCAGTACTTTTTTGAGGTATTTAAATTAAAATTTTGCACAACTTTATCCTTCTGTCCTTTTATTTTTATTTAACAGCTCTATTACTATTCACTATATTATTCAGTCCAAGATTTTGCACCACAAACTTGATTTGGTTTATAATATTTTTAATAGTACAGTCCCATGAAGAAGTATTTGAGCCCCTGCTAATTTAATTCCCTCGCCCCCCTTTTGCTTATTTGTAAATTTGTCACAGTTAAATGTATCAGATCAACAGATCAAAATGTATCTGAATGAACATTTTCCCCAATTCATTGAATACTCTGGGGAAATATAGCAGGAATAATTCCTGGAATTAAAGATTGTAACTCCTTATACACTATATGGAAAAAAAATACTAGGCCATGAAGACATTCCACCTACAGGAGCTGCTCAGCTATGGAAACCCATGCCGTGAACCTCCAGCACACAGTTTTTGTGCTGATGTTAATGCCAGAGCTCTTAGAGCTCTGCAGTCATCGAGTCAGCAGAGGTTGGCGACTTTTACACACTAAGCACCTCAGCAAACCCCACGCTGTAGTGGTCTACCTCCTTGTGGCTGAGCTGCTGTGGTTCCTAAGCACTTCCACTTTGTAATACCACTTATAGGTGATCGTGGAATATTTAAGAGGGAATACGTTTCACAAGGTGACTCGTTGCAACTGTGGCATCATGTTACAGTGCCATGCTCAGTTTCAGTGAGCTCTTTAGAGTTGTTTTACAAATGCTTGTAAAGGCAGTCTGCATGGCTAGGTGTTTGATTTTATACACCCGTGGCAATGGGACAGAAAACACCTGAATTCAAAGAGTTAAAAGTTGTGGCTTAATAATTTTGTTCATATAATATATAATAGAAACAGACCAAGAGCAAATTTTAACTAAAAACATGAAAAAGATTAGTATAGAGACAGGATGGCCATCTATGTCAAGAATTGGTAGCCAGATATTTCATCTGTTTAATATCTATCCAGTGCATGTAAACGTTGTGGGAATGTTAGCTCGCTTAACATCACAATAATGAAAGTGGATTATAAGGAAATAGACCTGAAACCAGCTAACAGGGGTTCATTGTAAAGTTCTGATAATCATTGCAGTCTTGGTTTACCACTGTTGATGACTATTTACCTTTGCATAAAAATAGGCAGACCTTACACTGAAAATTTAGGGTTATGAAAGGTTTTTTATCTCCATTTATCTCCTTATTTTAGTGATCAGCACATTTCTACATTGGCTATTGCACAGGTTTCTCGTCTCTCTTAGCACCTGAAATGCATCCAGTTTCCCAGACCTCTTCAGCTGGGCAGAAATCGCAGCCAACCAACAATCCTGTGAAACATGCTGATTTCTTCAGTACTCAAGAATATCACTAAAATGTACCTCTCTTTTTTTCCAAACTCCTTTTTCTTTTCTTTTTTAGCTCTTTCTTTACCCAACAGGTGACCATGCATGATTTTATGTTGTTTGTGTCTCTGGATTTTTAGTTTTTGGAAACATCAGTCGAAGCTCAAGGTTGGAAGAATTTGACAGGATCTGTATTTAAAATGCAGGTTTTGCACACTGCATTCATAATG